ATTGTACGCGCTGATGCAGTTCTATGATCCCCCGCTGAGGTGTTTTACTTTCCCTGACTTCATTCTGGCTCCGACCCTGGAGGAATATGCTGAGATCTTGGAGTTAACAATCCAGAACAAGGTTCCCTTCATTCATATGGGTGTTGAGCCCAAGCTGGAGGATTTGGCTGTTGCCTTGCATTTAGACTCCTCAAAGTTGTTGTTAACCTCGTGGAATGGAGTGTCTGGTTTTTCTCTCAAGTTCTTGGTTGGGAAAGCACAAGAGTATGCCAAGAGTGGCTGTTGGATTGTGTTTAATGCTATCCTTGCTTTGTGTATCTATGGCATTGTACTGTTCCCTAATATGCCTGACTTTGTTGATTTGGATGCATTCCATATATTTGCGTCAGGCAATCTTGTGCCTACTCTGATTGGAGATTTCTATCACTCACTGCATTATAAGAACGAGAACAGGAGGGGCAAGAACGTCTTTTGTTGTGTGCCTTTGTTGTATATGTGGTTTGATAGTCACCTACCCAAGAAGGGTATCTTTGCTGAGTCTGCAGATACGGTGGATTGGTCTGAGCATCTGATGGGACTTTCTTCAGAAGATGTCGTCTGGTTTGACAAAGATTTACTAGGATCTGAAATTATCTACAGCTGTGCCGGATATCCTAACGTTCCTCTGATTAGGAGGAAAGGGTGCATTAACTACAATCCATCATTGTTGATCAGGCAATTCGGTTATGCTTTGAGAAGCCCGCCAAAAGAGGAGGAAGTGCAGGAATCTCTGTACTTCACAGGTGATCTGAGTGGAGAACTATTGTCCAAGCTTCAGCATGCTTGGAATAATGTCCACAAGAGGGGTAAGCCGTTGTTGGGTAAGAATGATTGTCAAGCCTATGCTCCGTACAAAGTCTGGGTTCAAGATAGGGCAAAGCAGGCGCTGATGCCGTTTCCTGTAGTATTACCTCCTGCTCCCCCCGTGATTGAGGAGCCAACTACTGTGTCTATTGAGAGATATGAACAGGTTGTGAAGGAGAAAGAAGAGCTGATGAAAGCTAACGAGAAGTTGGAAGAAGAGCTAGTTCAGCTCAGAAGCGAAAGGAATGAAGTCGTATATTCCTTCGAGCAGCAAACAAAGCTGATGAACCAGTTAGGTACAGAACTGACTGAGCAACGAAAGAAGCGTGAATGCTTGGGGATAGATTTCAAGAGCTCTCATGATATGCTGGTGTCTAAAAAGAAAGCACTTGATATAGCCTACCGAGAGATCTCCGCATTCAACAAAACCTGAAATGCCACGCTGACCGGCAATAAGGAAAGAGAAGATAAGCTGAAGCAGCAGATCTTTGAGCTGGGAGGTCAGTTGAAAGCTAGCCAGAAGAAGTTTGAAGAAGAGGTTATACGGAGATACGACGTTCAGAATTCCTTGAACAAAGTTATCAAGCGTAAGAAAGAGTCTGCATCCCAGAAGAGGAAGCTAGAGGAATGCTTTGGAGAAGATGCTTGGGAGGAATCCATTGGGGATCTCCAGCGTGTTATCAGGCAAAGAGACTCGCTCGTCGAAGGGTTGCTTTCTCAGCCAGACCATCCCAAGACTAAGATATTGTTAGAGGAGTATCAGGCATATGGTCGCACTTGATTACCTTATGTACTGTTGTATATGCTTTATTTGCAGTGTGCTGGCCATCACCAGGATTGTTGGTTGAGGTCATGCCTTCTTGTTATTGTGTACACTCAGTGATATTGTATTTCTGACTTGATGAGCTTTTCAGCAATATATGAGATGTTTTCCATGAGTGGATTTCAAGCTTCTTATCACTATCACTGTCACTGCACTGGCACATTGGCACTAGAATCGGGGGCGATTTCCCTAACGCACAGACACATATTGCATCTGCATATTCATTTGGCATTGCGAGTTACTTGTTGAATCTGTATCTTATTTCCTGCATCTCACAGGTTTTTCAGGATTGACGAACAGAGAGTCCACTGCTATTCAACCAGAAACAACTGCAAGAAGATAATGGATCAGGTTCAGGTCGAGATGCAGGAAATCTGCGAGAAGCTGACTCTGTTCATGCAAGCTATGAAGAGCATGGCCAAGGGCCAGGAGAATCCTCAGACCTTGGTGCAGCCGTTGCTGACGCGGGAAAACGGAAATGGCAATACTGACCACATTTCTGTTGAAACTCCTCGCCGGGAGAATGAGATACCGGCAGTTGTTACTCCACCTGTTGTGACTATCAATGGAAACACTGGTACTGGTGCAGGTGCTGGTGCTGGTAACAGCAATATCGGGAATGGTGGTGAGGGGCACGTTGTTAACAACAAAGGCAATAATGTGGATGCTGATCAAGGATTCGTTGACAATGTTGGATTCGGAAACAATGGGTATGGCAATGTCAATCAGGACGGAAACTTTGGGTTCAACAATCAAGGCTTCGGTAATGACGGTTACGGCAACAATCAGGGGTACGGCTATGGTAATGGTGGGTTCGGTAATGTGATTAACAACGATGCTGGAGCACTTCCTTTCAACAATGGTTTTGGACCTGCTGGGGTCAATATGGGGTTCAGCAACCGAGGACAGGGTCCTGTATTCAATCAGCAGGGACTTGGCCGTAACATGGGTTATGATGGGTACGGCAATGACTGGAATGTGGATCAACAGGAGGACGCTTTTTCAGGAAGGGGTATGGGACCTGAAGGCCCTATTGACCCTGTTCAGAGGATCAGAATGCTAGAAGAGTAGATGAAAGGTGTGGTTGATCAGAACTCCGCTGGGTTAGATATGACTACTATGGGGTTGGTACCAGGGTGTCGCAGTGAAATTTGGATACCAAACTATTAATTAGTTTGAATCTTTAATTCATTTGCAACCGAACTTTGATTTGTCCAAAGGAAGGGATAAAGATCGAAATTCCCACAATGCAATGCAAATGCAAGGTTTAGAGAGTTATAGGTTCGGGGGTTGGTTAAACTTAGGGAAGGTACTAGCATCCTAAGTTTCTGTAGTACTCTACAGGAACCTCTTGTTTTATATTGTTTATTGCTATGGTTTATCTGCTTAAAGGTATAAGAGACCCTAGTGGTTTATTTATAAGTATACTCGATAAGATGTCGCATCTTATGCCTACATATCCTTACGGGAGTGGAATCAGAGTATTTGTAGTTCCCCTAAAGGGTTAGAGGAGTTCTTTGACTGTGGTCAAAGTTCCTACGGGTTTAGGGTAGTTGTTTGATTGAGTTTAGGAGAAGAGATGTGTCTTCATTTTAAGAGAGATTTAACCGCCACAAGGTGTAGGAAAATAGTCTTTGCATCGTCTTAAGAAAAAGGCTTAAGTACTCGGATTGTTTGACGAGTATGCCTTTATTTCTCTTAAGGCAAAGTCCCTACGGCTTGATTGTATTGTTGTGGGGTGGAGATTCTATCTCACTTAAGATGATTGACATCTTTCTCTAATGTGTTTGAATGTATTGTTTTGAATTGGTTGTTGAATACTTGAATATTGTTTGATTTGTATTGAGTTGTATTTGTTTGTTTCTATGTTGTAAAATAAAAGACAAGGTCCTCCTATAGGGTAGGATCTATCTTAAGTGATCGACTTGAATGGGATCAAGGATCGAGGGGAGAATGATGCAAATGTGAGTGCACTACACACAATTGTTGAATCATGTGTAGGTTTTCCCTTTGGACGGAATGCGATGCGGGAATATAAATACGGTAATGACTGTAAAATAAATTGCAAGGAAAGTAAACCATACACAGACGCATGAAAGCGCTGAAGTGTGTGAGAGTGAAAGTGTCGTGAAGTGAGTGTGCACGATTAAGTTGTATTTTACGATGTTGATTTTAATTGGATCGAAGGCGTGATTAACCTTAAGGGGGATATTGGATTGATTTTAGGAAGATTAATGAGGAATTATTTTAAAAGGATAAGTTAGTTTTTTTTTTAAGGTTGTTATTAACAAAAGAAGCTAAATTATTTAAATTAAAATAGATTCGATTAGTTTATTTAAAAAAAAAGGGGGTTTCCTATTATTAGGTAGATTTTATTATATGAAACCTATATTAAAATGGAATATCTTCTTATTATTAAGTAAACGGATAATTTAGTTTATAAAAGATAGGTGTTAATTTGAGTTGAAAAAGGGTTTGTTTATTATTTATTTTTTTAAATTAAATGAGAAAAAAAGTTTTATTAAATATTACGAATTGATTATGAATTGTTTTGAATTACTTCCTTGTATTATTTAGAAAAGGAATAAATTATTAAATTAATTCTCTTGTTATTTTTAAAAAAAAGCTTTATATGAAAAAAATTGTTTAATAAGCTGAGGTTATTAAAAAAATGTGAGTTAACAAATTGGTTTAAATAGATTAATTAAAAGGATTGACTAATTATAATAATTAATAAAAAGGTTTAGTGAGAAAAGATTATTAATTAATTTAAAACAGTGAATTAAAGATTGATAGTAGTTAATTAGATGATTAATCAAAATGAGAGGTTAATTATTATATTAATTAAGAATAAGATTAAAGGTTTATTAGTTAAAAGTTATGATTAATTGAATTGATTAATCAGATTAAGGGGATTAATTAGGATTATTTAATTATATTAATTAGAGGGTTAACTAAGACCTAACAGTTTAATTAGCGAATTCATGAGGGGCTTTGTGTGATGTAGTACCGTGGGTGGGTGTGTTTTGTAGGTTCTAAATTCCTGAACGTAAGCTGCGGACTTTGGATTTGCTTGACAGGTGGGAACGACAGCCTGCGGGTTCGAGGCATTGTGAGGGTTCGTAAACGAAGATGGTCCTAATGTTTGGATGCCTCTGCTGCTTGGTCTTTGTTGAGTACAGAACTAAAGCTTCATCTGTCATGAGGTTGGGTATAAAGAACAAGGCGTAGGGTTCCACACCAGGTATAAAAAAATGGATATGGGTGATTGCTGTTATAACTTGATTTGTTCGTGTGAAATTTGGTGTAATTTGAGTTGAATATAAACACTTGGATGTCCGGTCAGTTGCAGGTACATGTTAGTTTGCGGAACAGCTCCTACGATGGTTTTGCAGACCTTTGGCACAGGTAAGGAATGTGATAATGGATGATGCGGTAGCTAGGCATAGATATGTGTACGTATTGGTTCATGTATGAATGGGACTAACTCTGGTTTTGATTGTGCAGGTTGTTTTGGCAGGGATGCTCCAATCATCATGAAGTTCAGCTCATAAACCGTAACGGAGTTGGTGTTCACCAAAGTTTAAAGGCCTGGAAACTGGCGTCAAACTTTCACAAGTGGAGACAAGAAGAAGAAAACTTAAGGCAAGATCTCGCGCTTGCTCTTTTCAGTTCAGCTTTGTTCTTGAACGCTTTGATGTCAACTGAGCTGCGTTTTTTTATTTTTCTGTGCAGTCGACACCCAAAAACCTGCTCGAAGCCTCTGAGCATCCATCCAATTTACGGGAGTGATGCTGGTGGCTATTCTGAAGCCGCATTTGGCTACTTCGAGACCTTTTGACATACACTGTGTTCTCTTTTGCATCAGGTTGGGAGGCTTTGAGGTATGATGGTGAAGATCAAGTTCAAGCTTGTTTTAGAACAACCATGTCTAATTCCTTTTATGTATGTGAAGACGTCCTGTTGGTTTTCTTTATGCAGGGATTCCGTTACTTGGCTTGCCCCTTCGAGGCTTGGCATCGCTTTTCCCTGAAAAGGTAGGAGAGACACAGTACGACGACCTCTTTCTTCTCCTCCCAGTACATTCTCTGTCTTTCTTATCTGTGGGTTTGCTGAAACGATTCCTTAAAGATGTCCTCCCGATCTCTAACTGCGATTATGGTCATGGCTTTGCAGGAAGCAAGTTACGGAGCGATGTTTTGAGGAGGATAAGACTTAGGATTACACTTAGTTTGAGTGTGCCCCTCTGTTATGCAGCGATTTAAGAAAGTGGTTCGTTTGATTAACTCCTTTAGTGTCGACGACGGAGGTGACGAATGGTTTTCCTCTGAACTTCCTACTTTCTTGTTGACGGCAGCTTAACTTTCATTTGAATACTGATGGCTGCTTCTGATTTTTTTTGTAGCGTTGACGGCCTGGCGGCATACGTAAAAGGCGGAGCCAGCAGCTTCTTAGGGGCAGGGTTCTGATGTCTTGAGAAACGGGCCTGGCTGATTCCTGAGACTTGGATAAATTGTGATGAAACGAAACCTCTGATCGTTATGCTTGATGCAATAGTTTAGGATTTAGATTGGTGTCTGCTGTAAAGGTTCTTAATTGTGCAATACGCATTGCACAAGACCTGATTGTACATGAAACAACTTGATGTTATTAATGATATACTGTAATGGGAAATGAGTTGGCTTATTGTAAATTTCAAATGCAAGACTTGGAATTGATATCCCTCAAACACGGTAGCAGCCTTGTGATAATGAATTGCTTTTCCACCTTGAACCTTAAGCAACTCCCATATATTATGAATTCAAATTAAAGTTTTGAATATCGTGAACCGTATTCACTTGGTGGAAGAAAAAAAGTTCCTTGAGTATGATGAGCTTAACACAATTGATTTATGAGAAAGAGAATGGATTCTGTCGAGGACTTGAATCACATAAGCCCACAAGCTTGGCATTAATCATATAGTTCCTCTGAATCATGACTGAGTCTTGTATAACTTTAGAACTTGCTTTTCGTATTCTCCACTCTTTAGAACAACCATGAGCTTTGAACCAATTCAACCTAGTCACTGTTAAACCACTTTCTCTGAAAACCTCCGTCCACAACTTCTAGTATCCTTTAAATTGGGCCACGCTAGTATCCTGAGGCCTTAAAAAACATTTGTAATCCCTCATATCACCAAATTAGCACCCTGTTTGATACGAGTTAAATTACTCTGCCTCAAACCGAATAAAACCACTTGATTAAATCGTGACTGCTGGATTCTAAACGTATATAAACGGTCCTCGAGTCGAATCCACATTATCTTGCACCTGTCAGAGAAGTCTAAAAAAACGAGATGATCCTGTGCACATTCGTTAGTCCTGATAAACACACATACAAAATATCAAACGTAGGAAAACGCACAAGGAGGTGGGATCTTGTGGTCAAAAATTAGAGTGCAACACAGGGCTGAGGGTGCCGTTGAAATTCAAGGCTCCAACATTCGACAAATACAAAGGGGATACCTGCCCAAAGGTCCATGTACGTTCTTATTATAGAAGGATGTCTGCATATTCCAATGATGAAAGGATGCTCATGCATTTCTTTTAGGATAGCTTATCGGGACCATCATTGGAGTGGTACATGGGACTGGAGCCTACCCAGATTAGGAGCTGGAAGCAGTTGGCTGATGCTTTCGTTATGCATTATAAATATAATAGTGATTTGGCGCCAAACAGAGTTCAGTTGCAGAGTCTGTCGCAGAAAAATGGTGAAAGTTTCAAAGAGTACACGCAGCGATGGCGCGATATGGCAGCTCGAGTGCACCCTCCTTTGGTTGAAAGGGAGATGAACGACATGTTTGTGGGGACGTTTACAGGAATGTACTATGACAAATTACTCAATGTTTCGATGGGTAGCTTCTCTGATATGATCCTTATGGGAGAAAGGATCGAAAATGGAATTAAAATTGGAAAGATTCAGGCAGGCGAATCTACTTCAGCCGGAGGTGCGAGAAAGGCGTTCAGCGGAAGGTGACAGGGGGATACAAGCGCTGTATTTGGTGGCAGAGGCCGGGGCAGAGGCAGAAATTAGTACAGTCAACCTCAACAGATAGCCAGTGTTACTATTCCAATTCCTCAACAACCACAACAACAACAACAACAACCGCAGCAGCAGCAAAGGCAGAATCAGGGTCAAGGAAGGTTTCAGAATGTAAGGCCGAAGAGGGTATTTGATAAGCCTCCGTCTACATATGCAGAGCTTCTTCAGACATTGTTGGGGTTGAATTTGGTGGAGAAAAGAACAATGGAACCGCCTACTGAACCAGTACTTCCCAGGGGGTATGATGCTAATAAGCATTGCGAATTCCATTCCAGGGCGCCCGGGCATGATGTAGAATCTTGTCATGCCTTCAAGCATAAGGTTCAAGACTTGTTGGACAGTAAAGCCATCAACTTTGGCCAAGTGGGGCCCAATATTGCACAACAGCCTATGCCTAATCATGGGGCAAATGCTATCTTAACAGAAGAAAATTTGAACTTGGTGTTGGATGTTAATGAGTTGAAGACACCATTGAGTGAAGTGAAAAGCAGGTTGCTCAGAGGGGGAGTATTCCTCGGTTGTGATGAATACTGTTTAGAGTGTTGGACCCAGCCGGAGGGTTGTAATGATTTGAAGCGGGGCATTCAGGCCATGATCGACGAAGGGACCTTGCAATTTGATCGAACTGCGGTTGAGAAGCCTGTGGAGGCATTATGTGATAAGCAGAATGATGTTGCAACGGTGACGATCCCGAGGAAGACTATAACGATAGTGGCGCCCTCCAAGCGGCCAACTATTACGATTACCAAAGCAGGGCCTGTTCCCTTTGAAAGTACGAAAGCTGTTCCGTGGACGTACGGTTTAGAAGCATATTGCAATGGTGAAAAGATTGTGATGAATAGCCAGCCAGCAGGGGTTGTTGACAATGTTGTTGGTATGGGGGGCATGACCCGTAGCGGAAGGATCTTTACCTCATATGAAATAGAAGCAGAGAGGTTGGCCAAAGGTAAAGCCAAAGTAAGTGAAAGCGGGCCTGCTCAGTCGAAAGAAAAGGATACGTCGCCCAAGGACGTAGAGGAGTTCATGAGACTGATTCGTAAAAGCGACTACGAAATTGTCGAACACCTACAGCAGACACCGTCAAAGATTTCTATCTTGTCATTATTGCTATGTTCCGAGGCCCACCGGAACGCCTTGCTGAAAATACTGGATACGTCATTCGTGCCCCAAGAAGTTTTTGTAAATCAGTTAGAGGGGGTAATGGCACATGTCAATGCTGGACATAGCCTGAGTTTCACAGATTTTGACCTAACACCTAAGGGTCGAGAGCACAACATGGCTTTGCACATATCGGTCGAGTGTCGGGGCACCGTAATGTCGCATGTATTGGTAGATACTGGATCGTCGTTGAACGTATTGCCAAAGAAAGCCATGATGAAATTGGACATACGAGGAGTTATTTGCACGCCCAGCGATTTGGTGGTAAGGGCGTTTGACGGGACGAAAAGATCAGTGTTTGGGTCAATAACATTACCGCTTCAGGTAGGGCCAGAAAATTTTGATACCGAATTCTACATCATGGATATACACCCAGCTTATAGCTGCCTTCTTGGGCGCCCATGGATCCACGCTGCAGGGGCCGTAACGTCCACATTGCATCAGAAGTTGAAGTACATGGTGGGTGATAGTGTTGTTACCGTTTGCGGGGAGGAGGACATTTTGGTCAGTCACCTGTCATCATTCAGATATGTTGAGGTCGACGGAGAAATACACGAGACACCTTGTCAAGCCTTCGAAGGGTTGCGGATTAAAGACAAAGCTCAGGGTTCTAGCAAAATGCCCGAGGTGGCAGTGTCATCTTACAAAGAGGCTCAGGCTTTAGTGCAGACTGGTGAGACTAAAGGTTGGGGGCAGGTGCTGGAGATTCCCGTGAAGAATGACAAGTTTGGGCTAGGGTATCGACCGACGTCGTCAGCGTCATCTTCAGGAGCGCCCAGGTTCAAGGGACCGGTCACGATTACGCCAAGCAGGGTGTGCTTCGAGACTATCAACGCTATTTCCGACGCTGAAGACGGGGATAGCGACTGCGATATGGATGCGTGGATCAAGCCAAGCGTGCCAGGACAAAGTCTCTGCAACTGGTCCATCCGGGAAACTGTCCCAGTGACTTTTAAACAGTAATGATTTGTTTTATCAATTGTTGAATAATCCTATGTCCTACCCGGGGCATAGTGATGTTACATTAGGGCTACTTGATTATATGTATTGCACCGTTTTAATCATGAAATAAAGGCGTTTTTCACATTCAAATATTGTGATCCCTGTTTTTCTTGTTTTTACTTTAACAATAAATGGCAACGTGGTTATTTGCTTTGTTTGCATGTTGAAGCGTTTAACCATTTCCTTTGCAGGACTAATATTTCAGATGACATCTCATACGAACCGCCTATGACTCGTCTCGACTTCGAGCACCCGGTATTCCAAGCAAAGGAAGAGATTGTTGAGGATAGCGACCTGCCAGAGGAGCTGACTCGTTTGTTGAAACAGGAAGAGAGGATCATTCTGCCTCATCATGAGGAAATTGAGATTATCAACTTGGGGTCTGAAGAAGTTGTGAGGAATATCCGTATAGGGGCTGCACTGCAGAGCGACATCAAGCAAAGGCTGATTGAAATACTGCGAGAGTATGGTGATATATTTGCTTGGTCGTACGAGGATATGCCTGGGTTAGATACGGACATGGTTGTGCACCGTCTGCCGTTGCGAGAGGAATGTCCGCCTGTTAAACATAAACTCAGAAGAACCAGACCAGACATGGCT